AAAAAAAAAAAGGCCTGGGTTGGGCGACCCTATGATCAAGTATACACACAGACTGTACCCCGAGCTACTTAAGAAACTAGTCATGGATACGTACTTGCAAGGATCGATTCCTATAAACTAGAAGTATGCTAGGGTGGTTCTCATCCCAAAAACTCCTATGACAAAGAAGTTCAGGCCCATCTCACTTACTTCTGGGTTGTGCAAGATATGGGAACGAGTGACACTGGACATTATCAAGACATTACCCAACGCCGACCTACATCCTAACCAGTTCAGCTTTGTCAAAAATATGGCGACTGTGGATGCATTGGATAAGGTATTCGAGCTCAGGGACTACTGCACCAGGAATGGTAAAATTCTCCTTGCAGTAGCCCTTGACGTTACCAATGCGTTTAACTCACTATCTACTGCCAGTATTATAAAAGAACTGATATTCAGGAAGTTTCCATATATTATTGTTAAACTGATAGGAGATTTCCTTATATATAGGAGAATCTTTATTGACAATAGAAATGGTGAAATTAGCTCGTATATCATCAACGGAGTACCGCAGGGTTCAGTACTTGGCCCATATTTATGGAATATCGTTTTTGACGAGCTTCTGTACCTCCTTGAGAAGTTTTCCTTCATAACACCGATAGCATATGCTGATGATCTATTGATCTTGATAGAAGCATATAGCTAGGAGGAGATCACGGTGAAACTAGAACAGGCCCTGCACGCCACTAGGACTTGGATGGCTGAGAAGGGTTTGGAGATTTCGCCTGATAAGACAAACTCCATAGTATTAGTTGGTAGATCATTTAAAAGCTTAGAATCTAATCCTATAGACCCTACACCAGTGATGCTTTCGGATACTATTAAATATCTGGGAGTTTTACTGGATAATCAAAATACATTTAAGAGTCATATTAAATATGTCACTGACAAGGCATATTTATTCATGAACAAGATATCTCGCGTTCTTCCAGCTACTTTTGGTCCTAAGTACAAAAACCGGCTACTTTATTACTACGTTTGGAGAGCAATAATTTGCTATGCGTCGACTGCATGGAGCAATAGATTACACCGAGGAAAGAACAGGGCCACTTTGATTGCTGCGCAGAGATTTGCATTAATAAAGGTCACATCGGCATACCGCATCGTGTCTAGGGATTCGCTCTGCATAATTACAGGTATGCCACCTATTGAAATTTATCTTGAGGTTCTTAGGTGGTATAGGGAAGAGCTTAAAAGAGAAGCTAATACACTTACTTATAGTGACGACCCTTGTGCTATCAACTCACGAGCTACGAGGAAAAAGGCACTTAAAATTAAGATGCAAGAACATCTGGATGCATTATGGAACAACTACGTCTCCATTTAATCGAAAGACAATTGGACGAATAAATTCATTAAAGATAAAATTCTCTGGTTCAATAGGCCGAACAAATTTTGCTCCAATCACTACCTAACACAAGTCATCACTGGTCACGGGTGTTTTGGTACCTATTTATTTAAGATCCAAAAGAAATCTGACGATCTGAGTTTTTTCTGTACAGATGTTGATGACACATCCCACACATTATTCTTTCGTCACCAATGGAACACCGACAGGAGTACCCTGTACAGGGAAACTGGAACTCTAAGCGTCGACAACTTTATTGAAAAAATGATAGAAAATGAATCCAATTGGAACAACATAAATGACTTTATCACTACTATTATGAACAGGAAGCTCAAATTCGAGAGCGATCTCCAGCGCGCGGCAAGGAGGCGCTAATTTATATAGGATAATAAAATCCCTGTATTCTTAGGATAATTACATTTAATCATTATGTGTTCTTTATTCATTTCTTTTTTACTACTGTAAATACTGTAAATATACGTACTATAGCATTCTAGAGACAAGAACTAGAGAATGACGCAACACACATATTGTGTAACTCCTGTCACTCACGAAGGACTGCCTGTACGGCGTACCGGAGTGCATAGGAACGTATCTTTCGGGGATAATGGGAGAAGGGGTTTTAGTGGGTACACTGGTTGTGGTGAGTCCCACATACCCTGGGTACTCGTGACTCAGGGATGCGTAATGCATTTCCCTTCCACCCCCCCCCCAAAAAAAAAGGTCTGGGTTGGGCGGCAGATTTAGGGGATTTTTCCATCTCGGGATGGTGGAAGAATGTCCAGATGAATCCGACATCTCATAAGCATGTTTTAGTCAGTCGGAGAAGTCTGGAAGCCCCGAAAATCACACCCTCTCGCCTCCACATGGTGGCGCCTGGGATCCTGTCTGGAGATGCGACTCTGGATGGGATGCGAAAGGGAGGGTGACCTTTAGTTTATGTGTAAATCAATGTGAAAATATGGTCTCTGTACTAGGGAGATCGATGGGGTGGGAGACATTTGGAAGTGGATAGAAGGTCTCGGCTCCAGGAGGAGCAGAGAAGGATCACTGGATAAGCAGGGAGCAGCAGAACAAGGATGGATAGAGATGGAGAAAGGAAAGTAAGTAGTAAGTACACAAATACACAGATATACCGATGTGAATCCGGCCTCGCAAGAGGATGGCACGTAAGGGATACGGAATGGGAATAGAACGAGTGGGACTAGCGTTTGTCTCAAAGCTCAATCTATGGAGACTGTCCGTGAAGAGGGAGGGTGCAGGGCGGGAGGATTCGGTGACTCCTACGCGGACACAAAACTCCCTCTCAGTCCCCCTCTGAACCCGAGAGGACAACCGGATCATCTACCGGGAACCCTCAAGGGCGACGGGATAGGATGCTATAGGATGCATGACCAAGGAAGACCAAAACGCGGATCCGACCTGAAAAGGAGGTGCGATGGGATACGAATCGTGAGGGGAGCGAATAAAGGGGCTGAAATAGCCCACTCACAAGCTCCCCGAAGACCATTCGTGAAGAGGCGGCACGGGGGAAAAGATAGATGGGGAACCCTGTCGACTCCAGCCGCATTTCGCCTCTCAGTCCCCGCTGTGACCCCAGGACGACGGAAAACTCACTAGGGCCAGTACCCTCCACGGGATGATACGGTGGCGAACACAGGATCCGCGGAGGGCAACGGGCCGGGTGGGTTCCGGGAGGTAGCCTGGGAATGGTAAGGGCCCAGAACCCGAGTACCGTCCGTGAAGCGGGGAGGTAGAGGTATCCGCCCACCAACGGAATACCAGATACAAAATTCCCCCTTCGCCCTCAGAAAATAGAGAGACAAGAGCCGGGAACTCCGATCGCTGACGTTGGCACAGGCATGCGTACACCGAGCGCACATACAAACACCTGTCGGTGCGAGCGTTCAGTGGGCAAAAGACAGCGGTACTGGAGAGCTAGCGGGACAGCGGACAAGGACGCGTGGTCAAGCACTGGACCAGGAGGATCAACGGATGGATGCTCCTGGAACGGGGATAAGCCACTAAATATCAGGATCGCTCATTCGGGCCCGAGGGGGGGGGGGGGGTAGGGGCCGTATCCAGGTATATAACTCTTCGGAGGCCTGGTCGTGCCAATTGAGTAGATTTTCACGCAATTGGGCCCGGATGCGATACCGAACAGCGGAGCGTATACTGGTAACCAGAGTCTCGGAAGGATGAAGGACGAGGCACCAGACGTAAAGTAAGGCACTACTGAAACAGGCTCTCGCCCTAACGGGTAAGTGCCGTAAGAACCATGACCTTGCAACACATATGTCGATGGGTCATGGGGCGCTTGGCAGACGCCGTGACGATTCGTGGTACGCCGGAGGGAGATGGCATCAACCTTAGGGATGGGTGCGATATTCCACCCAGAACGCGAACGGTAGTCTCTGATGTAGCTGATACCGAACAGCGGAGCGTATACTGGTAACCCGAGTCTCGGAAGGATGAAGAGCATCACTTTGCGAGATATCGGCCCAACGAGCTCAGCGATCATCGTATTCTGGAAGGCAGTCCATTACGGACGAGGCACCAGACGTAAAGTAAGGCACTACTGAAACAGGCTCTCGCCCTAACGGGTAAGTGCCGTAAGAACCATGACCTTGCAACACATATGTCGACGGGTCATGGGGCGCTTGGCAGACGCCGCGACGATTCGTGGTACGCCGGAGAGAGAGGGCATCAACCTTAGGGATGGGTGCGATATTCAACCCAGAACGCGAACGGTAGTATCTGATGTAGCTGATATTTACTCTTCGGAGAAATTTTGGTAAAGCCCGGTGGGCTATCGTTTTGCGTCGCGTTACTTGTCGATTCTAGGGTGGGGGGCATACGCGACCTACTCTACCTCGTTTTCACCACTTTAAACTGACAAACCCAGCTTTTAATCAGACTAAATTCAATTGGCGATGGATTCATTTATGGTCCATCGCGGCTCCCGGGGGAGGTGATCGCCGAACCCGACCACGTCTCTCCTTGAGGTCGGCTAGAACGGCCGCACCCTCGACGTCTACCGTTCCGGCGCCTATTGCTGCCGCTGCTCCAACTCCTCGTGTTGTAGATCCAGCTCCACCTGTTGCGGTAACCGCTGCTCTACCTGAAAAAAGAAAACAGAAAAAATTTATAAAAGGCAATCCTATGGTAAATGCGCCTAAATCGAGTGCCATCATCGTTGAAACATCTGCGGACATGAATTATGAGGTGTTATCCATCCTCATAAAGGAACGTTTTGCCCTACTTAAGGGCAAAACAATGATAGATTCAATTTCATCTATTAGGAGGACCTTACAGGGTCACCTCCTAATAGAAACTAAGGACAATTACCAAATCGATGGAATTCGCCAGACGCTTATCGGCATTATTGGCGACACAGGAAGAGTGATATTGAAGCAGCCAATGATCAATATCTCCTTCAAAGGCCTAGACCCCTTCACTTCTCAGGAGGAGGCAGTCAAGGATATTAGGATAGCCCTTTCCATTCTTTTTTTTTTTTTTTTTTTACGTGAGGGAATGCATTTACGCACACCCCCGCCATCCTCCGATGCGGGAGGAGTGGGCGGGGGTAGTGTGGGACTCGGCCCCAACAGGGCAAAGCCCAGGGGGAATACCAACTAAACCCTCACGGTGGCCGGCCTCGGCGCTATGCGGGGAGGCACCGGGATCTCTTGCGAAGACAACCGGTACCTCCCCAGCGCCAGCTCCGCCAGTTGACGGCGGAGCGCCCTCTCTGTGGTGGGGAAGCGGAGAGCTCCCCCCCCCGGACCGCGGGTGCCGCAGTCCCGCGATCCCAACAGTCCCTTTTAGTCGCCTCCTACGACAGGCAGGGATTACCGTGGGCGTATTCTATTCCCCGCCACACAGGGAGAAAAAAGAAAGCGCACCGCCGGGAGGAACGAACGTCCCCCCCGGCGGCGGCATCGACGCGGGCACTTCCAGGCAGGGGCGTCAGCGCACCCCCACACGCCCGGCGACCCCGCAACGGTCCCCGCAGGGCCCGTCACCGCCAATCGTGCGGGGTCGCTGCGTCACGCCGGTCGCCCAGCGACCGGCCGAGAGGAGGGAGGGCTCAGGGGGCACCAGGCCCCCCCGCAGCCGGGGCGGCGGCCAGCCGACGACCTCCGGCGCGCCTCGCCCTCCTCCTCTCGATCCAAGCGGGGTCGGTTGTCTCCCGACCCCGCTCGTCGTCCTCCTTCCGCGAGACCACGGTCTCGCAGAAGGAGGACACTGCCCTCCACGACCCCTCGCTCCCCACCATGGCAGCGACCACGGCAGGGAGCGAGAGGTCCCACCCGACCGCCAGTCGGAGCGCCCGCCTCTCTCGGGAGAAGGCAGGGCACTCCTCCAGCGCGTGCTGCGCGGAATCGAG